ACGAGTAGCATACACCAAGGAGTACCACACGTGGACTTCAGTCTGAAAATCGTACCGAAGAGTAAAAAGGATGGAGGGGAGAGTTTAGCGGTATAACCTGACGGTGGGCGAAGGGGACTTGTGGGTATCCCTTACGTATCGACAGACATAGCTAACTAATTCAGTATATTTATTTACGATATTTGTCACCTTTCGGTGGCATGACTTTCACTATGATACCAATTCCCAAAACTGTCAAGCGTTCGTTTCATGACCTCAGACACCTCAGACTCTTACTCTTCTAGCAAGCATGGCAAGGGGCTCGAGCAACCGCTATCCGCGCTGATCTACGACACGGCAACATCACTAATCAAAGCGCTTTTGTAGTCACTGTCTTCTAAAAATCGTCCCAAAATGCCAATGTCGACTGCAATACGTGGCCCTCTGTTCCTTCGGCTCTGGCGTCATCTAGCCGCTTTGCATCGCCTCCGCGGTCTGCGTCAAGCCTTTCCGACCAATCTTTCTCGTGGCTCTCGCACACAAGTCCTTTGATCTTCGGCAGCCGGCTGGCCTGATCACCGGTAAGAGGGTCTAGGTCCGCTTCCCTGCATTCCAAGGTTATATGGCCGTCGTCCCGGTCATGTCTGCTAGAACAACTCGCGCGTCCGCCGAATCTAAGCGATGGTGTCCACATACGCCTTGCTGCGCCTTCAAGTGCTTTCATCTGTCTGTTGCGCGTTCGAAAGCTACTCCTGGATCGTGCCGGGCTGGTGTACACCATGGAAAGGCCGACCACGCTGGCTGGCAATGCCCTTTGCGCCCGGATATTCAACAAGCCAAGGTCATACGTTAGGATCAATCAAGTTCCTAATTTTATCCAGCAGTGGGTATGCAAAGCCGAGTAAAACATCGTTACTCTCTTGGGTTGCGTTGGCAAGCGCTGGCGACAAGTATAAAGTTACGCCCGACGCGGTCTTCAACTAGACCCCATAACGGTGGGTCTGGTTGCGGACCTGACAAGGCCGTGCCCAATGAGCGCCTTCCGCTTTTGCAGAAGGCTTCCGCGAGAGTTCAAGCATCAAAGCTCCCGGGCCTAAGCGAATTACGTTTGCTTCGCTCACCTTCCGTGTGCGCCGTAGCCTAGACACGAAGGAACGACGTCCTCTCGCCTCAAGCTCGTGTTGTAAATTGTTTTGCTTGTATCGCATGGAGCCAAACCGCTTTCTTTTTACTGCCATGTAGAGCTTCGCATCCTACATCGGGTACACCGAGTGACAGAGCACGCATGCGCCCCATCTCGCACACCCATGGATGTCGAGGCGTAGAAAAGACAGATATAAAAGGGTGAGCTCTAGGCATCCTCTTCGCATCACCATTCTCTCGTCCACAAACTTCAGGTTCATCAAGCCCTACAACATCATTGCTCTCCTAGCTTTTTCAATATGCAATACCTCAACACCGTCCTCGCTTTCGCTGCTGCAGTGGCAGCTGTCGACATCAAGTCGCACGGGGAGTCACACTGCAAAGGTACCGAGAGGGTATATGTGAACGCCAAAACCAACCAGTGCTATGCCGGTGGCGGTATATCCTACGCTTGGTCGTTCAACGCTATTCCCACAAACTGGAACCTGCAGACTCGATCTCACAAAGACGGAAACTGCAAAACGCTAGTTCACGCCTGGAACTCGAATGGTGCACGCACGGTCTGCCATGGCGCAGCCGTCAACAACTTGTTGTACACAGGTGCTGGATACAGCTTTGCCAGCAAGAAGAGGTCGGAAGACACTGTTTTCAACAGTGAAGACTGCATCTGGAAGCCAGACCTTATGACTCTGGGAGACGGCACAACATACAAGCTTACAGATGTTGAGGACGAAACCGCGAAGATCATGTAAGAGCAACCCTAAGCACCAGACAAGGCCCTGGATACGATGTACTAATTCACCTTCTCATAGACTCGCATATGGTGATAACACCACGATTGCCGAGAACATGCCAAGCCTATTCGACGAGTACATTACACAAGAGCGTCGCTGAGTGTGCCATCAAGATTGGTTGTTGGTGATCTTTACTGCGATGCTGTGGCTCAATACATTCCATCCACTTCCTCCATTGCTACTGCGACAGCGCAGAGCAGACGCATTCACGACTTCTAAAGCTCACATCACATCCCGAAACGAGAAAGCGAGCAAATGATGAAATCCGGGAGAGACTAGTCTCGCTATATACTGTTGGGATATCACACACAAAATGAACTAAATCGATGGCCGGCCTACTCCGTTTCCACTACTTCTGTGACCTCCATCTCTTATCTTTTGTGACACTTTGAGGATGACGATGGTGTTGCTAATCATTCTCTCTGTATTTGAGTCGTATCAGAGTGAAGATGGCAAACCCAACGAAATGCAATTCTCTTACCTTATGCTATGGAATGCTCTCCCAACACCACGCCAACCGTCGTTCTCGTGGCACATTCACTTTCGCAACACCGTGCTATTGTTGGCTTACAGCGCAATAAAGAAGCATCAAGAGTTTGGATAAGCGCTAGGTTATTGTGCAGCCGTGAACTCAATAGCAACAGCGTGGCATTGTGCTGGCGCACCTTCCGCCTTCCGACTTGGTATGACCAGTCCTTTCCGGATTACGCCAACCTTCCCACAATGTCGCATCACTGTATTATGGTCAATACAATTAACCTATAGAACAAAGTCATTTTCTCTCTCACACACTTCTCATCATTACCACAAACCTTTGCCGAACAACATACACAGGTACAAATATGCGCACGAAACTATCGTTTACTACGACCCTGGCGGCTCTGGCCATCCTAGGAGATGCGCACGGAGACCATGCTAATGACAGCAGGCAGTACACGCTAACAGACGATCTTAGCTACAAGAACTTCTTCTCCGCCTTTGACTTCTTCAACGAAACCGACCCAACGAAAGGCTTTGTCAATTATCAGAATCAGGAAGATGCGACCAAGCAGGGCCTAATAGGCTACCTTGAGGACACAAGGTCCGTGTTCATGGGTGTAGACTATACCACTAAAGACCCTACTGGCCGCGCTTCTGTTCGCCTTGAGAGCAAGAAAAGCTGGAATCATGGACTACTCATCGCAGACATTCGTCATATGCCTTCGTCGGAATGCGGCACTTGGCCAGCCTTTTGGCTTTTATCGTCTTCAGTGCAATGGCCGAATGGCGGGGAAGTCGATATCCTCGAGGGTGTCAACGACTACGAAAGCAACTCTATTACTTTACACACAACCAAAGGCTGTGTTGTTGATAACTCGACTGCGGCTGGAGGAGGATTTGGTGCTGTAGGTGGTGATAACAATGCGCCATTTACTGGTCTTATGAGTACCGACGACTGCGACGTCGCCGCTCCTGGCCAAGAGAAGAACGTCGGATGCTCTATCCACGCTCCTGACACCATGCCTGGTATCCAAAGTGGCGGCGGTAGCGGTAGTTCCGACAATACTGGCGCCGCGCCTCTCCCATCTTATGGTACCGAATTCAACAAAGCGCAGGGTGGTGTCTATGCCATTGAATGGGCCGCCACCAGCATCTCAGTTTGGTTCTTCCCCCGCGACTCCCTGGGCTTCACGGATAACTTCTCTTCGAATATCACAGCTCCCGATCCATCAAACTGGGGCACTCCTATAGCGCACTTCGGCGGTGCTGGCTGCGACTTCTCTGAGCGCTTCAAAGATCTTCAGATAATCTTTAACACCGCCTTTTGCGGCGAATGGGCTGGCGCCGAGTGGGATAAGTCTTGTGCCAAAAAGACCGGTGTTGCTACGTGCAATGAGTATGTGCGCGATAATCCCCAGGCCTTCGTGGAGGCTTATTGGGAAGTGGCGGGATTGAAGTGGTTTCAGAAGGGCGCTGCGTAGAGGTGGAATACCGTTGCAGTTTTGCCGAAACGCGAGGAAGTTGCCCATTTCCCCGTGAAAGGTGCCAAGAAAAAGGGTATGCTTGGTAGCTATCACATCGGTATTTGTCGCGTAAGCTACTTCTGGGCTACGAAATTATTTCGCTTTCCAATGTCTTTAAGCTTAGCTTCGCGGATGTCAAATTCGATGCTTCCTGGTTCAATCGTGTCTATTCAAGCCAAAGCTGACCTCGATATGGGAATATGCAAACTATCTCTTGTTCGATGTGGAACTGTGGAATCGTTCACTTTGAAGTGATACTCTGGTTATGATTGTGGCTACTTCGATGTTCGAAGGTATGTCATTTGGTCAGTTGCCCAATTCGAGGCCGAAGATGTCTGGGGCCGACTTCCTCAGTATATATGTGCGCATAATAATCAAAGCCTCGTAGAGCAGCAAAAGGAAGGAAAAGGAAGGAAAAGGGGTTTAGTGGCAGGGGTTCGAAGTTCAGTATCAGTATATGCACAAGCGCGTCGCAAACGCGTCAGATGTCTAGCCAGGTCGGGTTAGCGCAAAAACGCGTCCAGCCATTTCCAGGGCTTCCGCGCTTTCTGACCTCCGGACATCGTTTCGAGCCTCACACCCACCGACATCTGTACTGCCCTCGGCTTCCAAGAGTAGTGTACCACTGCCGCCAAGACAGGGTTCTCGACAAGTCTGATCTTTACCTATCCAGTGAGATGGCTCCCCAAGAAAAGCGCCCTAGGCTCCCGAAGAGCGCGTTTACTATAAGCAAATTACCAGAGTACGAGTCTACAGATCTTGTATTTACATGTTGCTAACGAATGAACGTAGTTTAAGCAGCGAGCTTATCGCAGTCAGACTCGGTAGAGACAACTTCAATTACGACGAGCCAGGCGAGCAGGGGCCAACCCAGGCAAAGATCGATCCACGACAAAGAAGAATCGAAGATTTCTTCAATATCACAGTAAAGAGGGGGGACGAACATGTGTTTCATGTGCATAGAGATGTTTTGTGCCAAACTTCCGCTTTCTTCCAGGCTGCTACAAAGCAGGTTTGGCGGGGCTATCCTCACAAGCCTGTTGATCTTACCACAGAACACAATGGTATCTTCAAACAATACATGCAGTGGCTATACAGTGGCAGGATCACGGTGCTTTGGAGCTCAGAACCGACCAACGAGGTCGACTCTTCGTACAATCCGACCGACGATTTGATAGAACAGTATCTCTTTGGCGGGAGGATGATGGATCCAACTTTCCAGAATGCTGCTATCAAAGCCCTCATGGATTGCTTGAGTAACGGGTATAGTTTTCCGAGGGCTGGACTAGTCCGTGATGTGTACAAAGGCACTATGGCCGACTCTCCAATACGAAAGCTGCTTCTGGATATCGTGGTCAACGGTGCAGATCAGAGCTGGGACTTTTCTGCCCTTTTGGAGAGGGCCGGAGAGGAGTTCACCAAGGACCTTATAGTTGCATTCGCGGCGAAACGGCCAAAGCCAGACTGTAGGTGCAAATGCAATCACACGAGTGTATGGGCTTGCCCTCAAAACCAGGCGAAATATTACGCTGCGGTTGCGAATAACAAGAAAAGGAAAGGTGCTCCTGCATGAAGCATTCATATAGTATAGAGCTCAACAAGGGAACCATCATACAGCAGCCTCTAGGCCTTTGTTGTCTTAAGACACCGTTTTTGCCTCGAATCTTGCCTCATACCATCAGGGTTGTCTAATGTTATAACGAAACCCCCGGATCGAAAGCGGTCGAAAGCGCACGCTCTGTGAGCAGCCAAAGCACGGTCGTTCACTGCGTGTAACCGTGTAGCGCTACCCCTGGAACCAGGTTATTAAAGGTATGCTAGACTGTCGCTCGCTGCAAGGGCAGATACCCAGGAACACACACGCACTCTAAGTGACCTCAACCGACTGTCAACATACCAATTCCTCGGTCATGGCGCCCATAAACGATCAACCAGCGAAGCGCCGAAAGCCTCTGCCTCAGGGCAGTGCTGATTCTCGTGATCTCCTTGAGTAGGTTCAACATACAAATGATTTTTGGAGCAATTCTAATGCGGTATAGTGTAGGTAGCGAGATACTCATGGTCAAGGTTGGGGGTGGCGACGACCCTGTCGAACCGAACGTAGCAGGCGAAAATTGCGACAAGCCCGAGCACAACAACGAAAGTAACGACAGCGATACCGACACGGACAGCGATACCGACTCAGACGTTTCCGAGGAGCGCATCTTTCACATCCACAAAAGCGTTCTCTGCAAGACATCCGCCTTCTTCCAAAATGCAACGAAGCCAGAATGGACTGCTCCAACACCGCGCCCTATAGATCTTTCTGACGAGCTTCCAGAAATCTTCCATTTGTATGTGCAATGGTTGTACAGTGGGAAGATCGCCGTCGAGATCATGTCCTCCAGTGACTCGGATACGGAAGTTCGCAAACACGAGAACGTGGATTATCATTCACTAATTCAGTCGTACATACTTGGAGAGAAGCTCATGGATACCACATTTCAGAACGCAGTACTGCAATGTTTGATTGAGTGCGTAGAGCAAGCAGACTGTTTTCCCGGTGACCGGACCATCAAGACGGCCTATAAGCGCACGATAAAGCACTCGCCTCTTCGTAAATTGCTGGTCGACTTCTGGGTGTGGCACGGCGACTCTGAGGGGGCGGCTGATGACATGAATTTGAGCCTGGGGACCGACTTCACGAACGACTTACTTAAGGCCATGCTTGAAGCGCGTCCTAGTCCGGACACGAGTGCAGAGAAGGTCCAGCCTCCTTGGCTGACACATCCGGAGATCTACAGCATAAAGGGTAACAAGAAGACCGCCAAAGACACCAGCAACAGCGGAGATGTCGCCAAGGAGTAGCGTGGAGTGTGTCTGCAAATGTTGCTGAGATTTGTGAGAGGAAGTGTTGTACGAGGCCCTTCACGATACACTGAGATGGTAGATTACTACACAGGAAAGGAGGAATCTTGTAGAGTCCTGCAACTCGAAGCTTTTACTGGATACCTGCATGCAAGTCGCAGCTAGGCCAAGAGCTTGGTAATGACAACCAAAGACGAGTATTAACGATGAAGGCTAGCATGTGTCCGTAAACTCAGTACTATATTTCCCTAAATCGTGTATCTGAATCGTGGGCTGTCATCGCCCATCTCTGCAATATCCTCATCGCTCATCCCTTCAACCAGATGCTCTTCCTCACCCTTCTCACGTCTCGAGTTGATGCGCCCAAGATGGAACCACATGACAGCGTAGCATATACAAGCAAAAGCCACCATAGCCATAGTGATACCGTGGCCCTTGACGAAGCGGGGGCGATCAGCCGTGGGATAGATCTAGCGATCCGTTAGCAGTGTTTCCACGTGGAGCCTAGTGATTACGAATAAACTTACAAAAGCACTCATGATACCCGCACAATTACCGATGCTCAACTGCAACCCTGTCGCAGTGGTCCTCTTTCCATATCGCGGCAAGTTTGTAGGCAGCCAAGCTAATGGCAGACCAACACATACATACAAGCCCATTGCAACAAGGAAGCAGCCAGCGTAATGCACGCCAGAGCTGGCGTCGCTGATCAGCATGGCGTATCCGACGATACTCACCACACCGAGCAAGATGCTGTAAAACCCACGCTTTTGCTGTTTATCGGAGAAACGCGCAACAACCAAGTAGGTAATTGCACCTAGTGCATAACACGGGATCGTAAGGACCTGCACCATCGCGCTGCTGGCGGTAGTGTTGATCGACCTGATAATCGTCGGCAGGAAGGTAGAGTAGCCGTAAAGCATGGTATCGCTTCCGAATTGCGCAAAGCAGAATACCCAGACTTTCCAGTCCTTGACGCACTTCCTTACATCCTCCCAGTGGAATTCCGCTGCTTTCTTGGTGTACCCTGTCTGGCGCTTGAGGCGAGCGGCGGCGAAAGCTTTCTCTTCCGCGGTAAAGAAGTAGGCAGTTTCCGGGGTGTCCGGCAGGATGAACCAGGTCGCGATACCCAGGATGAAGGTAGGAATACCTTCGATGATCATGATCCAGCGCCATCCGCGTAGGCCGGCCGTACCATCCATATGTCCAATAGCGTACGCAAGTAATCCGCCGCAGGCTCCAGCCAGGGCAGCAGAGACGAAGAGGTATCCGATACGTAGAGCAAGTTCGCGCTTGGTGTAGAAGAATGTCAAGTAAATGGCCATTCCGGGGAACAACCCTCCTTCCACGGCGCCAAGAAGAAGGCGGCATGCGATCAGACCGCCGTAGCTCTGCACGATACCGGTCAAGGTCGCGATGATACCCCATGCGACGGTGATAAAGGCTATCCATCGCGAGGGCGTAAGTTTCTTCAGCACCAGATTTGATGGTACTTCGGACAGGATGTACGTGACGAACAGAATAGAGACGGCTGTCTGAAATTGAGAATCTCCCATATTTAGATCTTCCTGTAGACCATATAGACGGGCATTACCGATGTTGACTCTACAATCGCGTAAGCAAGTTTCTCGTACAAGCTGCAGACTCCCAATCGCATCCAGCCGGGATAGACGGCGCATTAATCAAGAAGATCCAAACTCACCTGTCCAGGAAACTGAGCAAATACAACAGCATAACTACCGGAATGACGAAGAGATCCAGCTTGCGCACAATCTTTGCTTCCAAAACCGGGTCGATGCCCTCTAGCTGCCGCCCAATCTCATCGCTCTCTTTCGCGGCAGCAGGCACAGCCGGATCGTACTGCTTCTCGATGTCGCTCATGGTGTCGTGAGGCGTCCTCGCCTAATAGTGGCTCGGAGAATTAAGCAACAATGATGATCGATGACTCCACGTGAGGAAAATCGGCTGTCGCGTTAAAAACGCAAGATTGCGGCAAATGCGTCAGGAAGGGATGGTGAAGAAAAGAGCAGCAAGCGTCGAGTTCTTAATGCATCCGGCCAAAATTCTGATCCGTCATCACGTAGAATCTCCACGGCTTTGCCACGGAAGGGAAATGCTCATGCTTTAAATTCGTCGACGGCCTACGGCTTCGACATCGGACGAGTCTGCAAGGGGGCCCACTCTGAACATGTCGCCCGCGGGCAGATCCACGGCGGGGGGCTGGAGCCAATGGAGCACGGAGCTAACGGTTTGTGGTATGACGTTGACGGTTACCCTGCCGGTAACACAGATACGACAGCTGGGCAACTGATAACGAACCACACGCGTCGCTGTGGCCTATTGTCTGCCAATGTTCCAAGGTTGGGGGAGATATCAGACAAAGGATGGGGGTGCTCGCGTGCCCTTTTGAGAGAAGTGGTGGGGACAGGCATTCGGTGTGGTTTGACATGTTCGTCGCGTTAGTCCGTTGTCATGCATCGCTTAGGCAATGCGATTAGTCCTGTCTGACCAAACAATTGCTCCAACAGGACTTGGAGACGCGATTGCATCACATCACACTTTGTTGTGCAGATCAGCGCTGATCTTGAACGCGTTCCACAACACGAGCTAATCACTAATTGATAGCATTTGAGTGGGGATTGCCAATCTCAATCAGACAGACGCCCTCATACCAACTCAGACGATGCCAGCGACGGATAACTAAATGGCGTCGTATCCCAATCGATAGGCAGTACGATGCCAGAGTATATGTCGATCTGCGCTGAGGGATCAACAGGCCACCCCAAGTCGTCGCGCGGAAAGTCGATCTCAGCCACTGCAGGTTCCATATCCACGCTCACGGTATGCTGGACGCAGGTACCGGCAAGATTTGACCGTGCAATCGCACGAACCTCCTTCGCCATTTTCATTCCAAGTGGCCATATAGTTCCCATCGTGTTCAGAAAGCCGATGCTGAGACGCACACGATCTCGCGCTATCGACAGCGCGTGCCCATCCAATAGATAGGTACATACAGACACTTGTGCTGCCGCGAGTTGCGCAGTTAGGCACATGATAAGAACATTGTGCCTTTCGAGAGCGCATGGGATTGCGAGGAGTTTGGTATGCATTTCGGTCGCCTTGAGCACACGTGCGGTATGTGTGTTTCGCCCAGTTTTTGGTGTCAGCGTAAAGGGAGAAGGAGGCAGAAAAGACTGCGTGGTCATCTCTTCAGGAAGGTGAGGTAGTGACGAGAAGGGCCTATGCAGTGTTGAGATGACTCTGTCTTTGTTAGCGTAACAGTAGCAGTGCATGAAGGAACGAATTACATTGCAGCACACATATGTGCCATGTACCTGTTGTACGTATCGTTAGCGATCATGTTTTCGTCCGGCTGACGGTGTGGCATACATCACCTCATCTACTTGACCATCTGGTCGAAGCGGGTCCTTCTTACAAGCCGGCAGCATCGCCGACCAAATCGCCAATTTCATGTCGCAGTTCTCGGCCATCGTTTCGCTAAATATAGCAGTGTCGATAAAAGACTTCATGGCTGGAACTGTTAGGCATCATACGAAGTAGATAACGGCTTTCATTGGGTACGTCCACCTGTGGTCTGTACTTACTGCCAGCGATGACCATTCCGATGTCGTAAAGATATACGATTGAGGAATAAACAATCTCAATTTCTGCGAACTCACGGGTCTGGTACTCCGCCCACGTCATCACAGGCGGGATGTTCTGCTCATGTCAGCTCTCACCTCTATCTGGGCAGCATCTCGACATACCCCTGACTCAAAGTATTCATCATCGCATGGCAAATCAACGTTGTTCGATGTGAGAAGTAGTGTGTAGAAGGGCGTGTTGGTGACAAGGGCGAAGTTTTGATCCACAATATAGAGTACGTAAAACGTTCGCCTCCAACACTCTTCCAGTACACCGCTACCTTCCCCATACGCTCGAGCAAAGTCTCTTTCGTTCATACGCAATTCTAATGCAATTGTGATAGCTTTATCCAGGTGCTTACGAGCCTCGGCTCTGGAAATGCTGTGGAACTCAGCGAGAGCAAATAGCAGCAGCGCTTGAACATTGAATGGTGTATGCGCCAGGTCGGGCGACGTGACAGCTTCTAATGCTGTCATGTGGTAGGGTTTCGATGGAGTCCAAGGGGCGTAGATTGATCCGATCCATTCCAAGACGGATATTAGTGTGGTCATTCCATGGTTCCCGTGCAGGCGCCTGGCTTGCAGATAGTGGAGAGGCAGTACAACTGGCCATGAAGACCAGAAATATTCGAAGTACAAATCGATGAGTCGTTCATTGTCGACTTGGAAGATCATTCGACTTTGCTGGGTAACGTTCCGTTCACGAAAAGGTATGGAAGAACCTGATGAACCGCTCTCAAAGGATCCCAGGCTAGACTGGTCGGATGGGGATGGCGCTGGTAACTGAACTTTTCCGCTGGTCAAGTTTTTGGGTTCTTGTTGCAGTCGTAGACGTCGCTCCGCAAGTGCAGCTTTGCTGAGACCTCCTCTTCTAGATTTTTGATAGATGCATTCTTTCCCGTCGCGCCTGCATCGGTTGCAGGCGGGTTGTGTGGAGTCACACTTTACGTGTCTATTGCGGCACTGGATACAGGCCAGCACTACTCGTTCAATTCGTTTCGGATCCGACGATAGCTCCATGGTTGAAGGAAAACAAGAGGAAGAGCGTAGGTTGCGATGGGATCACGGCCGTAATTGGGGACACCGCCAAAGGAGATCTTGCGCGCCAACCATGGAAGGTCAAAGTCAAGATTATCCAAAAATAATCATACATTCCGGTGAGTGGAAGACGAGCACGACGCGTAGGGCTGATCTGACTGGTTACACAGCGTGTCAAGTTGGGCGCCTGCCGAGTCGGCAAGAGTCGGATGTGCATCAGCATTGGGGGCCGCTCCTTGTTCATTAAGATGTTACGTTGAAAACCACAAACTCTCAACACGGTTTAGGCATGGACAGAGCGCGCTCGCGTGCGACACA